TATATATATAAATTTTAAAAAAATAATAATAATGATATGTTTTACATTCTGTAATACTAAGTACTTGAAATCCATGCATATTCTATACTGATAGCATATCTTAATGCCACTGGACACATTTTAGGTGCTCAGTGACCACATGTGGCCAGCCACTGGCATCGCCTCAGGCAGGGTGGGTAGGGGCAGCAAAGAGAGGACTCTGGCGCCACCGTGTGGCAATCACAGGAAAACCACTGGTCCACACGCCCTAGTTGGAACAACTTGAACTCAAGGCATTTGACAGATGGGGAGACTGAGGCCCAGAGAGCGTCGGGTACACACCCCACAGATGCAGAGTCTATGAAACCCCAGCCATCAGGTGCTCAGTCCGGAGCACTTTCCACCCCACCACCCTGCCCTGCTTGTGGGCGGCGGGCTTCTGCGTGTCCCTTAGCCGAGTGTTTTGTGTGACCCAGCTCAAGGCTGAGTAGGAGTTAACTAAGTGAATGGGGAGGGAAGGGTGCCCCAGAGCAAGGGAACAGCATATGCAAAGGCCTGGGAGAAGGGGAAAGTGACAGACCAGGTGGGGCCCGGTTAGCGAGGGCTGGTGCTGAAAGCTGGGCTGGAGGAAAAAGGGGCCACATCACGGGGGGTCCTGGTGCAAATCGCATCCTCGAGACCCTGCAGGTGGGTGCGCTTTCCCTGCCTCCTCCCATGAGGCCCTAAATGGCTGAACGGGAAAGGGGAAGGCGGGCCAGGGGCCGTGGGGCCGGAGGAGGGTCCCCTGGTCCTCTCTTTGCTCCACATTCTCAGACTTGGAGCCCAACAAACCAGCAACCCAGAGATGCCCACGTACACAGGCTTTAAGACAAGAGTCCCCTAGCCCGGCCCTCGGGGCTCAGTGGCTCAATTCCCGGTCAGGGCCCATGCCCGGGTTAAGGGCTGGATCCCCAGTGTGGGGCTTGCAAGGGGCAGACAATCAATGAATCTCTCTTATCATTGATGTTTCTTTCAGTCTCTCCCTCACCCTTCCTCTCCGAAATCAATAAAAATACGTTTAAAATATATGTTTAATATAAGTCAGTATTTATTTTATATTAAATATACCTACATAAAAATATACTTTATTATTTTTAGGCAGGTATGTGAGGGAGACACACAAAATATGATGTGGTTTTGCAAGGGAGGTTGTGGCTGCCTGCCACGGGAAGAAACTGGGGTGAGAGGAGAGAGAATTGGGAGGCAAAATCTGTGGGAATGGTGGCTGGGCTGGCTGGAGGACAGGGAGGGGAGGGAGAGGGTGGAGGAGAGGAGGTGGGATGGGACTTTGGAGAAGGACCAGGTCACGGGCACTTTCAGCCCCAGTGGACATGGCTCCCTCTGATCCCCTGTGGCAGTGGCACCTCTTCTGGGCTGTGGTCCAGCACCCACCTGCTCCCCCGGCCTCCCTTCTGAAAGGCCGTCCCCATGCCGCCCACACGGGACCTGTGGCCTTTATTTCCTCTCTGGCCACCTGGGCCTCCTTGTCAGACAATCAGAAGCCCAGAGAAGGTGAGGAAGTTGCTGAGGCCACACCGCAAGTTGGAGAAGAAAGCGGTTTCCAGTCACCAGCCTCTTGCTCCTCTCACTCCCAGGAGTCTCTCAGGACAGAGATGTAAGGTTTCTCTCTCGCCCCCGAGAACCTTGGCCCCAAGCCTCAAACCATCCCAGGCCTCCTCCAGTCAGGCCTGTGCCTTGGGCCCCCAGGGTCTCTCTGAGCCTGGGACTCAGGGGAGGGGGAGGGGCACAGGGGCCCTGGTACCTGGCCCACTGATGGCATCATCGTGAAAGGAGCTGTGATCTGCCCCACAGGGAGGCCGTGGGAGGCGCGGGGACATCTGGAGGTCGGCAGGGCTGGTACGGTGTGGGCACAGATCTCAGGCCCGGGCTGGGGTGGGGTACTTACCGGGGAACTTGACAATCGTCCCTGGGGGGCAGACAGAGTGGGGCAAGCAGCGGGCACAGGAGTTGGAGGCTGACGTGGCACAGAACAGGCCAGCCCGGCACTCACAGACGCGGGGGGAGTTCCCCGAACATGGCTTCTTCTCCACAAGGTCGTCTAAAGGGCACAGAGGAGGGTCACAGAGGACAGAGGGAGGGCGAGGGAAGGGACAGTCTGCCTGCGTGAGAGAGGGCTGCTGCGGCCTTCCGCTGGGCAGGCCGGGTCCTGAGGCAGTCACCTCCCAGCCCACGTCCCTGGAGATCACTAAACTGGTATTAAAAATAAATTAATGTCCCAATTTTAAAATAGGGCACCCGGCCTGCATGGCGCAGTGGTTGAGTGTTGACCTATGCACCAGAAGGTCATGGTTTGATTCCTGGTCAGGGCACATGCCCAGGCTATGGGCTCGATCCCCAATGTGGGGCATGCAGGAGGCAGCCAATCAATGATTCTCTCTCATCATTGATGTTTCCATCTCTCTCTCCCTCTCCCTTCCTCTCTGAAATCAATAAAAATGTATTTTTTAAAATATACAATGCACAAAAAGGACATGGCAGGACATTAAACATGTGTTTCTAACTCTCTATCCCTCTCCCTTCCTCTCTGTAAAAAATCAATAAAATGTATTTTTTTAAAAAATACCAAACAGGCCCGGTCACCGTGGCTCAGTGGTTGGGCATCGACCCATGAACCAGGAGGTCGCGGTTCAATTCCCGGTCAGGGCACATGCCTGGGTTGTGGGCTCAATTCCCAGTGGGCCGTGTGCAGGAGGCAGCCGATCGATTGATGTTTCTATGTCTCGTTCCCTCTCCCTTCCTCTCTGAAATCAATAAAAATATATATTTTTTAAAATAAAGAAAGAAATAAAAACACCAAACATACCTAATGCATTGTGAAAAAAATTGTTAATGGTGACTTTGATCTCAAATAGAAAAGTCACTGGTAAAAGTAATGAATGAGTGAACACAAACATCCCTGGAGAACGGTAAGGGGCTTCCTTGGCCAACCGGAAATGACAGACTCCCTCCAACATGGGAGGCAGATGGGACTGATGGAAGAAGGAGGCCTCAGTTGAAAGTATGTCCCAGAGGACTGTGCTGGGAGAGGCCCCGGGGTGCTCCAGTCTCTGAATAGGACCCAGCAGGGACGGGACCCAGGGAGTGGGACAGGAGCATCCAGGGGGGTCAGTGCCCCCAGATTCCTCATCCGCTGATGCCGCAGAGCTGGAAGCCAAGCATCACCCCAAGGAGGCTCTCGGGGGAGGGAGCTGGGCGGTGCCCTGAGGCTGGTCAGACCTGAGAGAAAGGGCCCTCAGACCCAGAAGACCAGCCACTGGCAGACCTGCCCCTCCCATCTCCCCCATGGCCACTGGAGTGGGTTCCACAAGGAAACCAGCATGAAGATGAAAGGGCCCCAATACCTAGGAATAAACTTAACTAAAGAGGTAAAAGACCTCTACTCAGAAAACTATAGGACGTTGAAAAAAGAGATAGAGGAAAACATAAACAGATGGAAGAACACACCATGTTCATGGATTGGTAGAATCAACATCATTAAAATGTCCATACTACCCAAAGCAATCTATAAATTC